GTACCAGGGCATTAGGGTTGGATATGTTAAACTTAATCAAAACATATTTGTTAATATATAGAATAGATACAGACTTGCAAAATATATTATTTTCAACTTTATGATAAAAATATTATTATCAGAAGGGTTTTTGTGTTGATATTATAGTAAGTTTAGTAGTTGAGATCATGAATCCATTGAAGCTAGGTCACTATAGAAAACCTCAGCAGTGTGTATTCACAATCCCATGTGAGAGACCGATGGGTTTTGGGTTCGAGTCTTGCGAGGTGGGATCGTGAATGTGCATTGATGAGGAGTTTCACAATAGAACGAAATGGCTGTTCAGTACTTCTAGGTTTTCCATGGTGGTCTAGCTTTTATTGATCTTAATTATGAAAAATATTATTCATATAGAAAATGAACGATTGATTCACATGTATTTATACTTTAATGGTGTAAAGTACAATTTTACAATTGCTATGATGTAGATATTAACAACAAACAGAGTAATATAAGTAATATCAGAAGGGGTTTCGTGGAGATTTTTAGTAATTTCAGTAGTTGGAATCATGAGTCAATTGAAGCTAGACCACCATGAAAAACCTGGAAGCACTTCAATTGACTCATGATTTCAATTATTGAAATTACTAAAATCTTTACAAAACCCCTTCTGATAATAATAATCTGCTCACTAGCAACTGACTTCAAGGGATACTGCTGGAATTCTAATGGGAAGCCGTGATCAGTGGAGTTCAACCAGGTGTGTTGTGAGATATCAGCTTACTGAAGACAATGCTGACGGTGGCGCCATTTCGTGGATTGGTTGAGTTTAGACATTAACACCGTCGAATGACGGCTCAATGGACTAATGGTTAAGCGCTCGCGCGTGAGATTGACAGGTCCTGGGTTCGAATCTCACAAGGCAGGATCGTGGATGCGCACTGCTGAGGAGTCTCATACTAGGACGAAACGGCCATTCAGTACTTCCACGTTTTCCATGGTGGTCTAACTTCAACGGACTCATGATTTCAACTATTGTCATATAAGTAACATTAAAAATTTATTCATTAAGACACATAAACATAATAGATATTTATGTGTATAGATTATAGAAATTTATTCAATTTAAAGTTAGTTTTTTATGATAAATTAAGATCAACTGAAGAAGTAATATAAAGAAAAAACATATAAATATTGTATATATATATATATATTTCATATTCGTTTGTAAAATCTACAACAGTGTGCACTTACAAATATCACACGATATACGATTTAGGTCATTGCGATTCTATGTTCAATCATTTCCCTCTTTTCTTTTTTATAAAAAAATTTTATTATTATTAATAATTGCTAGATATGTATAACTCTGCAATAGAAATTATCAGATGATAACTAATATCATGCAATAATTGATTGACTATTATTTACTATGGATACATACAATGATACAGTGTGATACATTAATTAATTAAGTTTTAATAAACGATTTTGAAACTAGGCGATAAATGTGATGAATTAAAACAGTTTGATTATTTGAATTAGTTGCCGTTGAATAGTTAATTCATTATAAGTGAAATTATATTTTTAAAAAAATATATTCTAACACAGTAGAATAGGTATAGATCAATAAAGTGTAGGTGTCTAAAGGTAACTATTATATCCCGATGAGAATAATAAATGGTAATTGTTAGAATCTATTTCTGCATTAATATTATACTTATACTTTTACTGTATAATTGTTAAGTGACTAAATTATTCATATTCGTGTTCCGCTCATCATAAGCTTTATTTTAACTCATAGACGATTTACCATTCTTGAGTTATGACCACTTTATTAATTACAGTCACCCACAATCACAGACACAATCTCAGACTAGAACTTGTACAAATGTTATTTTGTAATTTCTAGTACGATGTGATCTGTTTGGTTTGAATATAAATCCAATATGTTTGAAATACATGATTGATATCGTGGAGGTTGAGATTGGTGTTGTGAAGTTAACAGGTAGTGTTAGGCAGGAATAAGGATCGATAATGATTCTAGATTGCTCATATGTGTTTTATACATCATTTGTTCTGTCGACAAATCATGGTATCATAACTTTATGTATTAATGGAGCACAATGCCACAAGTTATAATAGTAACCTGTAGTAAAACAAAGAAAACATCAATAGAAGAGTGACAAGCATTGATAAAATATTTGCTTCATTTCATTTGGTGTCTAGAAACTATCATTAAGAAAAACAATCTTGATAAATCAATTAATTATAAGCCTATTGATTTTAATCAGTGAGTTTGAAGTCAGACATTGTTCATAGCTAGATTTTAAGTTGTTGGCTAAAAATTTGTCATAGTGCTCAGTTTTATGATGTGAAAAAAAAGCCATCTGATTCGACTTAAATTCAATATTGATCTTAAGGATGTGACGATAAAGTGTAACTGATTTTATTCAAACAAACTGTTTTGATGAATAAGCTGAATAGGATTGATTATCATTTATTAAATAAATTTGTAACCACTTTTTGTTTTATGATTAATAGTGTTTTCACTAAACTAAATCAAATACATTTCTTCTGTTCACTATATTAGTACTGATATTCAAGCCAGGAACTATTGAACGGATTAAAAAAATACCTTACAAATAATTCGCAACATTTTTTTAATCTAAAATTCTTCATCATTAATTAGTGTTTATTAGTCGTCATTAATCACAATGGATGTATATATACATATATACATTAGTGGACCTGTATCTGACTCTAATTAGATCGTATATTGTTATGGAAACACACATGCCGCCAAACCCTCTTACATATAATTAAGTGAAACATGAGAATGCATCTTGAACACGTACATTTCGTACACCCATTGATCTGAACAGACAATCAAAGAATTGAAGTGAAGCAAGACGAGACGAGGTGAAGCATAGTCGATAAGGCGAGTGAGCCAACTTGATCAAGCATGACTTAATGTTTAGTCAGATACAAATATGTCACAGACATGTGATGAGCAGGATAAGCAATGCACACACATACGCTCATATAAAAACAGACAATATTGGTAAGCGAATTAGTGACAAGGTGAAAATGTGATTCAAGAAGACAAATAAATCAATCTGTCCGGATGCTAGGATAACTCATGCAGATGTGACGGCACTAAATGCTACAAGCCTTTAATAATAAATCATTTATCTTAGAGAATTTGATTTATCGAACAAGCTCTGTAAATTACTTGTTACAATTCGGTTGCATTGTAATGTAACGTCTAAATCATGTTCACAAAATAAGCTTGCTGTAGTAATTTAGATGAAATGTAAGTTATTTATGCGAGTATGCAAAAATCAACTGGTCACGACGATTAATCTAGCCTAATGAAATGTGAGTTGGAAACTAAGTGTTTTCTATGGAACATGCACCTTGATTAATTGCATACTAGAATATGAATCTTATATTGATGCAAATAACTGATCATGTCTAAAGAAAATATTTAGTGGGATCAACGAACTCGTTCCATTAAATTAACGAGTTTTTATCAGTACTTGTATTATCTTGTGAACCATGGAGTAATGAGTTATTCAATCCTCAATGGTTTAACTGGACTACATTATAACCTTTTTACCTAGACGATTTTAGTCTATTTTAAAAAGAATATTGATAAGAATTGAGGTAAACCTCTAGTAATAAGACTGACTTCATATACATACAGCAAATGTATTCAAGCTAAGTTTAGAAAAATGACGAAATATATGCTAACATACACATATTCGATTAAGATTGGATACGTGAGGAGTAGTGACAATCACTTGTTGCATAAGCTGGTTTGGATGAACTTGATGAAGAACCTATTATCCAGTGGTCAGAAGTCGAATATTTTAACTATATAGTCTCTGGTCCGTTGGTACCGGGGTGGAGTGAGTATTAATAGTATACAGTTAAATAGTCTGTTGAACTGTAAGTGCTGTCTTTAAACAATAAACGTGCAAACTTGCAAAAGCACAGTTAGGTCTATTCTGTAAACTGAAAGCGTTTGAACACATCGATGTTGAGTTTAGCCGAAAACAAGCAATCCAATCAATTCGTGTTTAAATAAGCAATTCAATTGGCAGACTGTGCATACTAGTGTCACTAATGTTCAACGAACACTAGTTCGTAACGTTAATGAGTCAGGAACTGCAACAAACGAACATGACAGTGACTACCAGAGTAAAAACGGATTGCATCACGAACGGCTGACTGAAAAGTTAATCAGATATATTACAAATAGATCGACAGAATTTGACTGGGCACAAGTATTAGATGATTTGATTCAGTAATCCAAAATATCTGAATCTTACAGATTAGTTATGGCATAACTGGTTGGGTAATGCAGATTCGAACTACGTGGTGAACGTTAATTCACCGACAGTTTCAAATACAACCTGATCAAGAATGTAAACTAGCACAAAAACTTAAGTTGAGTGGTTCCTACAAACAGTCTCCAATAATACATTACACTTAGCTGTAGATGCACACTAAATTGTCAGTACTTAAATCATACACTTTAACAGATTTATTCATGATACATCTATAGATAAATACACATATTCTCCTAATTTTTGAATAACACAATTCCTGATGAATGAATTTATTAATTATTACTCTATATATCAGAAATTACAAAATAATGCAGGTAACAGTTTGAATTCCACTTCAAAAGAAATTAATCTAGAAAAGACACATTGTGGGACGGAATCAAAGACGAAGACACATATACTTCACTGTACAGAGTCACCGAAAAGAATATCAAAATATCACTTGGAAAATAATCATTAAAAAAATTATATTAGACTAATCTTCGGAAAAAGAGTGAAAGTAAAAAATAACTAAGATAAGTAACCTGTACAAATAATAAAAAAACGAACAGAAAGAATTTCACAACTTGAAAACGTACATAACAAATTAAACCTCTTCTGTTCACTGATGAACTGAGAAAAGTCAATGAGATTAGGAAATGTTATAATAATAATAAGAAGAAACTTTTAATGTACTCTAGGAATATGGGAAGTTATAAAGGTTGTTTTATCAGTATTCACAGGTGACTGTTTACATAATGATAGATTTTCGATAAAATTAACAATACTGGTATATGATAGATCAGAAGGATTCATTGGTTTACTTATATATAAATGATCTGAATCGATACGTACCAATTTACCCATTTCTCGGTCTACAATATAAATGATAAATAATGAAATGAGAGTTTAGGAAGGAAAATTTTTACGATTTCAAAAAATGAGATTATTTGAATAAATGACGAAATTATGACTGGATTGAATAATAAGAAAAATATTAAAGAGTTAGTTGTCTGGAAGTTATAAGAGAATTTAGGGTGAAAACAGATTTACGATTTAGATAAAGAATTTTGTTTAAGCAACTTATCTAAGTTTTAAAAAAGTACAGTTGTTTTTCACTTTTTACAAGGGGTTGTATAATTAGCAACTGAGATTCTAGAACTAATGATCACTGTCTTAGACACCGTATGCTACTCATTGCCTTCTCACAGTGGGTGTTTTTTTTACATAATTGAGAGGACGAAAAGCTAGAAAACCTTGATTCCAAACTAATGGTGCACATGAGCTCCAGGATTCTGACGGAACAAATGGCGTATGAACCTATTGTTGGTCACCGGATACCATAGGACTGCATCTCCTGACGTTGCTCCATTGCCTTGTGGATTAGACCTTTAGATCAAAGGCTATGGCAATGACCGCCTAGGAAATCCACCTACTTCGGTTTGGGCGCCCGGGCAGTATTCCAGCCCTCACATAAATCAAACGACGAAGTGTAGTGCATATACATTTGGCGCATCCTTGTACCAATGTTTATGTGTGTTTAAAGAAATAAGTATCTAACATCTTAATTAGTTCAACTAGTAACATTTAGCCGTAGCATTTACAGATTTTTTGGAAGAGGATAATCCAATTCTGTTCAGTCTACTTCAACTTTCCTAAGTATCGAGAAACCGAAATTCGTATCGTTGGTCATTATAGGGGCACATTTTAATGCCATAATATCCTAATATAATCAGTAAAAGGACTTAAGTCCCACAAGTATATTAGCGAAGCAACTTCCGCTACGGTAGTAGAGGTCTCTATTCTCAGTAGTGTCACAAACTAATCTTTTTTTACATAACAGAATCAAAAGGTTGACGGAAACCAGTCGTAGTCTGAATGATGCCATGTAATGAACAATTCTGAACTAGATTTTAACGTAGTTAGTCAGTGCTTGTATTCAGTGAACTAAGAAAGCTTACACACTTCCACTATATCAAGCAATGTAAAACATACTTCATAAGGATGAGAATATTGAAAACTTCAGATTGTCAGCAAAGCAACTTTAAATAACTTTATTGAATTGAAAGAAATTTACATGAACATGAATTAAGACAAACCTTTAACATCTTCAGGGACAATTAAAACAGACCAAAATCTGTTGATTGGTGTTACACGACTTTCAACCATAGATAAGATTTGTACTTTATGACTATATGCCCATAGATTAAACCAAACATGGAGATCCAACAAATAGTTTGAATCTATAAAATAAAGATGAGGCGGTGTAAGATATTTGAATTAAAATTACCCTTTCTATACAACATGATTGTCATTTTTTTGCAGTCTGTTTGATGAAGATGCTCATCAAATGCAGTCTTCCGACCTTCTAAAGCAAAAGATGCAAAAATGCTAGGGATACAATTCTCTACCTCTGTATACAAAATGTTGCTTCAAGACTGATTTACGTCAATCTTTGAATTAATAATTGGGAGTGAAAAAATGGATTGCATCAGCCCTAATGAGTTGATGTGAGAAAGCTCCCTAAGCATTTTCTAGTTTGTATCACTTGTTGCATAGGCGAAATGTCCGTCTGTCAACCAAAGGACGGGCACACTAGGCAGCAATTAGTTTTGTTATGATCTGTCGTTGTTAAAAGTAACCTTTAAAAGTAGAGGATATTCGTAGGTCACCAGAAGTTGATAACAGATGCGTCTGTAGAATCGATCCCCTATGTTCAAGCTATCGAGTGAACACTGCTGAGGTTAGACGTATAATACTAAGCAAGAGCGGAAAATCTATTGATGAGATTGTGAATCTTCATCGTCTAGACATGTATCACACACATATGTAACCACTGCCTACCTCGACAAGAGATGTTGGGAGGTGTAAGAGTAAGCTAAGATGACCAAACTAAAACGTGGGATCAGTTCATAAACTAGTTAAAGTGAGTCTTATTGTTAAGAGCACACTGATTGGTTAGGGTCTGCGCAATTATCTTAATTGATGTTTGGAGACTGAGTGACAGTGCTCAAAATCGATCGCAATGGCGAAGATTCATATTCACTCTGTCTTACCCTTACACCTTAAATTTTAAAATTATTTTATACTCTTTTTTGTTTGTCCTGATAATTTATTCTTCCACTAAGAATCTTACGACCTATTCCCAATTTTTTCTATTACCACTAATAGTATTATTAACTCTACGGTTCTAGGATTTGCCTTGATAATTTTACCTTGCTGTGTTAGTGTTGTGACAACTTGAACTGATGGTTAAGAATGCCAACTATTACATCACGTATGAATGACTCCGCTATTATCGGCTAAATCATACAAAAAAGTCAGTAGGAGTATAGGAATGAGTTTAAAACAACGGTTTGTTAACTAAGATGTTATTTTTTAAAATCTATTCATAAACAGATTTGCAAATATAGGTGATACAGAGAAATTTATCGCAATTCCATTTGTCTAACGAAATGAGCTTCCTTTGAACTTAAAATAATTAGATCCTATGCGGAAGTTCAAAGCTTTGATGATTCTACTGGTATTTCATGGACATCATTCTGATAGATTCGTGCCCGATTCGAACAAACCGAAAATGATATCAAGACATTTAATAATAGGGATGCTAGCAAATCATGGACAAATATCATGGCTTTATCTAGCTTCTAGTTTGTTATTTTGAATTTAAAATCAAAATGAATGGGATCGAACGTTTGTGTATTTTTAGTCGACTGTAGAATCTTGAGAATACATAAAATCTCAATTTTAATTAAGACCAAAGGTAACTCCCAAATTTGAGTTTCAATCCTCGAAGAATTTTGTTTGTGTTAAGTTTCAATCTTGTTGACCTAAACTTAATTTGGACACCAACATGTTACGATATTTGTCCCCAACATACACTCACGTTATTATTGTTCTAGTAATTAGTGATTTTCCACATTACTGATAATAACTACATTTGTTTAGTACATTTTACTATTTTTGTAACACTGCATTTTAATTCACAAAATTAGCATATTTGTGAGGGTAGATTTACAGTATGTAAAATATTAATTTACTCGATCTAACTATGATATATGCTGCTGATATCCACAGATATAAATAGTATGTATCACCAATGGAAAGAGAAATACCTTGATGTGCTAGGTTAAGAAAATCGAAGAAAAGAGAACGAAAACAGAGAGTGATTGGTATGGAAATGAAGGAACAATGAAGTCTGAGGCAATTGATGGATATTTTGCAAGTGAAGTATTTACTGTACGGTTCTCAGATTTTACCAAGATGTTCTGTAATGTTGTATTAAAATACATTTGGTTGTCCCCACTTAAGTTCTCGTTCGTTACATAACAATATTCGTTAATCTTGCTTTAAAAAAAATTAATTGTAATAAGCTGATATTACTTTTACACAGTTTAGTTAGATAAAACATGACAAACTCATAGCTGACACGAAAGAAAGAAGTTGAAACCACAGTAAATAAAAAGGAAACGAAAATTATTTATCGTAAGTAAAATAAAAGTACGAACATACTTTTTTCAAGTTGAATAGCTTCAGGAGTAAGCGCCCATCGGAATGGACGACGATATAAAGTGTGCACCGATTGATTTCCTCTATGTGGTGTACTCATAAATACAATTGCTTGTGTACTGCTTGCTAATGTCTGGTAATTTACAGGATCTATTTTCGAACTATCGGATAAAGTGGTTACGAATGATGCATCACTACTGCGTTTGGAAAGAACACCAGAACAACTAGATGAATAATACATACGATTTTCAAAATATTTATCAGACATATTGGCATTTTTATCTTCAACAAAAGAGATAAAACTAGGATTTGATATGTTTGACAAATTTTCATTCTCCTGGTCAGTTTCGTGACAATACCATTTACAGGATGGATTGATTTTAGAAACTGAGGATTGAGAAACAGATGGGTTTTCTCCACTTAAAACTGACAAAGCTGCATAAGTATGAGAAATGTGTGCACACTCTCTAGTGCTAGACGTGGTACTTGGTTCAGAATGATCATTTTTCGATTGTTCGGAAGGACCATTGCTAACAGAATTAGCCAATCGAAGCATTTCTTTCACAAGAATACCTATTGATGGTGTTAGAAAAACGAATATTTCATATAAGTATTAAAAGGGAAGTAGTTAATAGTTACTTCCAAACAGTAATATTCAATTACTAAATTGAACAAATGAAATTAATAAAACGACATACACATGGAGAAATCTTTCTTGGCTCCCAATAGGTACGCACATTCTTAAAAAACTAGAATCCATGAGTTTGAAGAATACGAATTTAATTAGTGTGGATCTAGACGACATAATACAGTTTAATTAGTGTACATAATAATCAGAAATAAACGTTGATACATATTCGTACGAATACATATTTTGTTTCTAATATCGAATAACACTATCAACTAAATTTCAAGCATCGTATCTATTCCACAATTTTTTTTTTTGCAATCCCCTGAATCATGATGTGAAGTGTGAAATTTTTGATAGATATATATTTAAATCATGAGTCAGTTGAAGCTAGACCACTATTGAAAACCTGGAAGCACTGGACGGCCGTTTCGTCCTAGTATGGGACTCCTCAGCAGTGCGCATCCACGATCCCGCACCACGCGGGGCTCGAACCCAGGACCTACTGGCTTGTGAGATATCAGCTCACTGAAGACAATGGTGTACGGTGGCGCGACTTCGTGGATTGGTTGAAGTTAGACATTAACACTGTTGGATGCCGGCTCAGTGGTCTAATGGTTAAGTGCTCGCGCGCGAAGCCAGTGGGTCCTGGGTTCGAGCCCCGCGTGGTGCGGGATCGTGGATGCGCACTGCTGAGGAGTCCCATACTAGGACGAAACGGCCGTCCAGTGCTTCCAGGTTTTCAATAGTGGTCTAGCTTCAACTGACTCATGATTTAAATCTGTGAAAATGTCTAAAAATCTCCACAAACCCCTTCAGATATATATTTGTCAGTATTCTCGTTGTATACAATATGACTGAAAGTATTCGAACCTAAAAGAACTATTTTTTATATGGTCCATGGATTGTGACTGACAATGGAGTCCGAGAAGTCTATTCGGAACTCGTCAGCTGTATATACCTGCATGTCAGTTTTAATATTTATATAGGGACCTTAATCCAGTACATTACTCTTTAAACACCAAATCCATTACTCACTGAGCGATTGAATACTGATAACTAAAGCTGAAATGCAAATCCTGGGTTCCAGTGATGACCACAATCCATCAAAGCAAGCCACACAGGATACACATATGCCAACAAAGACAAATCAGAATTCAGCTCTCCATATCAATAACTGTGTTATTTAAATCTTATTATCAATTTTTTGTACATAGAATGTGATTCCGATGGATCCACTATTAAATAAAAGCAGTGAACAAATTTTACATGAATCCATCATTTCAAGAGTACATTTTTAACGAACCTTTATATTTTCATGTTCATAATAATGTCTTAATATTAAGAGGTTTAATAAAAATTTGTTTGTTTGCATACATAAATACGTATTAATTATTTATAACTACAAATGGTACTATTTGTTTATTGAAAGCTCAACATTTCATTATTTCGATTCACACACATACCTTCTCCACATATATGAAATGATGTGTCTTACAGTGAGTGTCGGTAAGGAGAGTATATTCTACTTTGTATTTAATATAGATTATCAACATTGGAAAATGAAAAAAGTAAGAAATACAAAACTAGGACCAAATATAATGAGTTAATAAGTATGAGTTTCTTCTAAATTAAACTTACTACTAATAGTAAGAATACATATTTTTAATTTTGATTAACAAGTAGAGTTTATCAACCAGTGTTTGTGATAATTTTCACATTCTGGGATATGTAAAAAAATGATGAAAGTCTCGTCAATAATAAGTGGCCTAGTGTTTGACGAAATCTCAGCACGGTATTGGTTAGTGTTCGTTAACTTAAGTCATTTATGGGGTAGTTGAAATGTCCGTTTGCTAACCAAGGTGTGTATACCGTGCAGTAGTTCTCTTTTTATTAATGGTTGTGAAACATGGTCTATGAAAGCTTAGCTTAAGACGTATTCAGGAAATAGGTTTTTGACCAAAGGTATACTTGAAATATTCTCGTGTTTTGTGAAGCAAATCCATGATCAATGTTAAGGTTGGGCATAGCGGTACCAAACAGAAGTGAGAAACCAGTTGCTGAGATTGTAAGTCTTGATAAACTGCGGTGGTTGGGACCTACGTTACGTATGCCTAACCATAGAATACATAGACGGGAAAATCTTTACTAATGTATAAGAAGCTTAGGAGCAGCCAAACCAAGATATAAGAATCGGTCTGTGAACTCACTGACTCCTGATCTCAATCAAACTGGTTTAAGAAAACTAAATGATTGTGGATCAGGTGATAACAACGACTAGTGGTTGGGAACGTTGGATAAGATAGCTCTCAACTTTAGATAGCACTTCAAATAAAAGTATCTCTAAGAAACTTCAACTGAAAATTGTAGCTCACAATATTATGAATGCATTTGTAATGGAGAAGTGAATTACATCATTATTACCACACGTGATGATACAGTTGACGTCTGAATTGTATTGGGAAATATTTATTAGTTTTAACGATGGAACTGCTAAAACCCAATCAGTCCTCAATGATAATCGAACTCTACTTATCAAATTGTAACGTGGTCATTATTCCAGGTAACTCATTATTGTGATATACTATCTTTGGTGTTGGGTGGTTGAAATTGACCGCTAGGAATCATATAAGCTAGGTTTCATATAAAATGTAAACCGTCAGGGATGTTTATAAATTCTCGAGGGAAATGATGCTTCCTACGAAATTCGAATGCACATCACAGTCAAAGACAATACCACTGAGCTATTAAAGTCCTAAATGATTTCTCGTAAACCTGAGATGTGTACACTAACTTATGCAATATTATTAACTTATTAACGTTTGCTGAATCAACGTATTAGTGATGTATGAGAACTAACACAAACTATATTTAGTGTGAATACTTCTAGCATAAAGAGATAGGGCCATTTTTCCAAACTGGATGAAATGCTCAGCCAGTTCTTACAGTTTGACAAAAAGCAACACAATTACTCAACAGGTATTTTAGGATAATTCAGAGATGTTAAATACAAAGAAAAATCTTAGACCATTAGACTACAATTAAAACGTCACTTGAATGGAATGATAGTAATAGTAACTCCATTAATCAGCAAAAAAGAGTAGCAGTGAAATTATGACAAAAGATGTGTTATTTCAACGAAAAAAAATCAATATCATTTCATGGGGTAAATGATTTTGAATATCTATTAATCGGATTTCTCATTAATATGGCTAACTTCGGATGAATTTCCTAAAGTTTTATTGAAAAGGAAGTCAAATGCGAAGTTATCCTTTGATGATATTGAGTGCAGCAAGGGAGGGGCAGAGGTTAGACTGTAATCAAAAAATGATAGAAATTAGGAAATGTAGACCTTTAGGTTCCGAATCAGTAACTCAATGCGTTTGTTCGTGTCGCAAAGAGAGGAATATTCACTTAGAGTACCTAGACTCCACTCATTAGGTTGCAGGTTTGAATCACACCGTATACTCTGATTTGGGCAAGCTTTTAATACAAACGATGTAGCTTAAAACTAAATACATAAACCTGTAATTGACAAATAAGTTATACGTTACAGTAAGGGACTTGGAATTGGATTCATTTTAAGGTTGTACGTACTCACCAGTGAAGAACTATAGAGTATAGCATAACTAGTGTATTTAACAATCCATAGTTTATAGTACTTACCTAGTGGATAACAGATTTTTGATAATAAAAAAATAACCACCATATACTACAACTCTGATGCTAATATTTATTTTTCCTAAAGTAACAAAAAATCAATTGATGAACAAAACAAAACCGGCAAAAATATGAAAACGAAAGAAGTAATGAAAAAAGAGTGAATTACCTCCAGCTGAATGAGTAATCCATATTATAGGTCGATGACCAACTTCTGCTTTTTTAAGTTGTTTCATTATATCTACAGCTCGCTCATTTAATGTACGCCTATTAGAACAAAAACAAAGAAAGTGTATTGTACTACAGCGACTGATTTTTATCAAATGCACAAGAAATAGAGAGTTGAATTAATAAAACCTGGGACATTTTGCTAATATATATAGTATATATGATTAAATCATTTGAATAAATTAATTGGATGATTATAAGTGTATATGTTAAACTATACAGCGAAATATTAATCATACTTGACTATAAACTTTAAATCTTCTAAACAAAGCATCTAGTTAGTTTTGTCTTTCAATATCAGCCACAGATGGATTGAAGAGTAGAGCAAAGTAATCGTTAAAGCCAAATACACAAATTTATACTTCATGTGTCAATGATACATTACAATAAGAGGAAAGATCAGAGATTAAGAGGACATCGTCTTTTTAAATTACAAGCAATATTACTATTTTATGGTAAAAAGAGTGGTAGAAGAGGAACACAAACCAAGTTTGCTAACCCATATAAGGCATTCATGAACGAGGAATAAAGAAACTTTAAAAAAAGCTAAGCCATTAACATGTAACGATGAAGACGATAAAAATATTTACTGTTTCGTTTGAAAACAAACAGCTTCTTGTAGTAATGATACAATAGGTTTTATGTATGTTTTAAAAAAGAAAGAATAAATAAGCTCAGTTCGATGCATTTGGAAGTAATTTATGTACTTCATGGTATCTAATAAATAGATAGCTATTATATATCGTTGATTTATTTTTAACCCATTCACCGAGTACTTGTACTTAGTTATGATGGTTAGTGATACTATTCGGTCGCCCTAACCGAAGTAGATGGAGCGGGACTAAGTGGATGAAAGTTGAATAACTTAACCACTGAGCCACTACTCCACTATTATATATATTGACTATTCATTGTCCAAATATCTTCAAAAGTAAACAATTTTCATAAACCACTCATTTAGATATGCATATATGAGTTAAATGAAGTAAAACGTTTGTGAGAAAACCAATGTCACAACCATTACTACTGTTCACTTATTTATAAACTATTGGAATAAGTTTACTTCTAGTAATATCTTCGAACAAAAAGAAATTATTGATTAGAAGGAATAATATGCACAATGCACGTTTATACACATGTTTAATGAATTCATCAATGATTAATAAAATAATAAAGCTAATCACTGAAGAAAGAAGTGTTTTGAATTACCACAACTTTTTTGAGAGTAAGTCTATAACCTAACTTCTAAATATAAAATAAACGAATACTTCTTTAGGTTGCTACAAAAAAGTTTTTCTTTATTAGTTAAAATATCAATCAATCAGTGTTAATAACATATACACTATTTGACTGAGAGATTGGTTCGAATTGTAGGTGGTATTAGCCACAGATTAACTTCATTTGGAGAAGTTTGGAAAATCAAATAGTACTGGACAAGCATTTCGACTTTGCATGAACACCTCAACAATGCGCCCAGATGAACCGATCATGGTTCGAATCTAAGGACCGCAAGTTTTGGAGACGAGTATATTACCTTGAGATCATTGGAGTGCCGGAACCCTCTAAAATCTACTCACTTGCAACTTCAGTTGATTCACAATTAACATTGACTACCCAATATTATTGTTATTATTACATTATTATTATTATCATCAGTTTGTACTGAAATTGAGGCGTCATTAAAATTCTTAGTAATGAGAACACTACCAACCATTCATCAATATATTAAGCGCATTCTTTTAAATCAAACATAGAAATAGCAATTTTAATGAATTCAGTTTTTGGAAAAAATGTCAAATATTTCACCGATAGCTTTTTTACAATTGCATTTTACACAGGAAAAATATAATAAAATTCTAATAATCAACATCATTAACAGTAAATAGTAAGGTGAGCTTTTTTCTTTGCATACCTAAGGAGTTTGACGTAAAGTGTAATGGATGAATCAAAAATTTAATCTTCATTTTTTTTTTGAAAACAAAACAAGTACAATAAGTAATTTAAGGTATGATTCAATCATCAAAAGAATATGCAAATAATTAACTGATATCCTATAACACTCAAGACAATAGTTTGAAATAAATGTAGAAGTCAATTTTAGAATTCATTAGCTAATGAACTATAATTATTGGGGGTCTGCAGACACAGTTAGACTGTTATACGTTGCATCACAGACTGATCGTAGTTAGACAACTATCGAATACCAGAAAGCGTTAGACAGCTGTTCCGTTCTAGTACGGGGTAGAACAGTAGCGCGTATTCACAACTCTATCGGAGATCAAAACCGGGACCTTTGGTCTAGCGGTGAGCGCTTAACCTTTAGACAGATTTCAAAACGAGTTTGAACATGGAGTTGAGAAAAGTCGATGGGATAGAAGAATTAAATGAGTACCTAAAAGCATGTCAAGTTCCATACATATAAGATGACTTAATAAAGAAATAATGCGTATATTTTTACCCATTTTGATTTTGGGTAACATTACTTAACGTCTACAACTATCATATTTTTACTATCTTACAAAATTCAGAAAATAAGCCTATAGATCCTTACCAACAGATAAAAAATAGATCTATTCGAATACAGTTCATCAGTGAACAAATACAGAAAATCAAAGAAAACAGAAGCTTGAAGTAGATGAAAACTACTCTAATTATCTAAACGGATGAAGTTTAACTGCATCATTAAGTAAACTAGCTTAATTAACAAAAAATCTAGTCGATTCACCGTACGAAACTCAGGAAAAAAACGATGATAGAATACCTACAATTTTTTTTATTATATAATGTTAGCCTACATTCAAAGAAAGAAATTAAACAATCAGAAGTGATAGGAAATACGTAAGTTAGTATCTTAAAATGTTGATTTGTTTTGAAACAAAACTATGTTAACCATTTACACCTGAATATTGGTCATACATAAAGAGGATAAGAAAAAGTGTTCAGTCTATGAAATTTAAAATACTTAAGACCTAGAAACAATAGTAACCAAGGTAGTTTCGTTTAGTTGTAGTCTAGTTAAAATAATAACTGAATAATCATAAATATATTTTTTGTTATATCCCAATGAGTAGAAAAATTTATTTGAAAGTAACGAGTCTAACTTTGGCGTTGATACCGATAACTCAACATGTTTAGGTTTAAATACTGAGGAACAAGATTAAAACCACGTTAATTGTGAGAACTCATTACGTTATTCACATATTGAATTTATGATAAATTAAATAGTAATCTATGATCTCAAGATATAGAGAAAAAATCTCATCTTTAAAATGGTAACAAGGATGTAATTTAGTGAGAAAAAAAATTATTTAGTTTGAAATTGTATACATTAAATAAACAAGAGAATAAATTTACCGTAACTTTTGAAGTGGACAAATTGAATGCCAAACAAATGGCTTCAATGAAGTGTCAACACCAATAATTCGAGCTTGCGGAAATCGATGGGAAAGCCAGTCCTATAAGATTTAAATAACAATACAATATTCATTACTTTAGTAGAACGATCCCTTCAGTATGAATTTTCGGTGAAATAGACAAGGAATTGTTGATACAAAGAGATGTTGAAAATTATTTATCGTTTTGTGAACCGAGTATTCATTCTAGACAAGCTATTTGTTATATTGACGATAGTCTTGATCCTCAGTTAGTTAGTCATTGGTTATATTTTGTGAAATCTACCCTGTTAGGAGATTTGTTTTATGAGCATCATTAGCACACTAGAAGGAGAGAGTGTATGCGTAAAAAGTCGAAAAATAGGTATTTTATATGTAGATAGGTTACTGATCGTCTATGTTTACAACCAATGGAAGGATAGATAAAGTTAAGGTGCAAATGCGTTAAATCAGACTCTCACACACTTTTACATAGTAGGTTAGTTGTTCAAATTACAGCAAGCAGATAACAAAAACTTCAAAGGGCTTACTATATAAGCTTCCATTCATATATATATATATATATATATATATATATATATATATATATATATATATATATATATATATATATATATATATATATATATATATATACTTACTCTAGGCCAACATTTTGTATACTGAGTAGCATTGTTGTTAAGCATTGAATCATGCTGTCTCCAAGTGTAGAAAACACTACCCAACATACCGTTCACAAAAATAATATCAAAATCATAATCTTCGTTGATATTGCTATAGATAGAAACAGAAAAATGGTAGAGAGAAAAATAAACAAAGGAGAGAAATCATAAACAAATTAGACATGTCAAAGGTAAATAACTGAAATATCAACAGAGAAATTCTATATTCAATCGTCAATACTATCTAAACAAAAAGAATGACAGAATCGTATGTCGTTTATTTAGCCCATATCTTGACTGTTTTACAATCTTTTTTGTAGCTGTTATCAGAATTGAGTTTTCAAACCATTAGAAAGAAAAAAAGAATTGAAGAGCAAACTAACCAGCATTAAGTATAAAAGTTCTCTATAGGGTAAACTTTTCGAAAATTTAGGAATATTAGAGACATCAATAAATTTATTTTGTACAGGAATGAGATCTTTCTCTTTATATTCAACAAACAAGTTATTGGAAAATTTATCGGTATGAAAATGTTAATCACATGGAACAATCATTTTAATACTATCTCTTAATATCTTACATAGATTATTTTAGTGAATCCGTAAATTTCAACTGGATCATTGTAGAATGCAAAGTTATAGTGGAAGTATGTTGCATAAAATAAGTGATGACCACTAAGTTTTATATATGATTCGATTGTTCAAATCAAAATATATTAACCAGTTGGTTGAATATGTATGAACCATTTAGATTTAAGGATATTCTTCATTATATTTTCACAAGTGATCACAAGATATCGCATGGAATGTACACTGCAGTAAATACCTTGAGTGACTTTGATAAAGTAAACCTGATATTTAGCAAATACAAATGTCAGTGATATATTATATTTACTTATTTGAACACATAAACATCGGTATAAGAGGGCACTAAATACAACTGCACCACAGAATAACAGTGAGGCCAGTAGTCATTATCATTGATTTGTGTGAACTCTGATATTACCCGGGTGCCCAGACCGAAGCAGGTGGTTTTCTTAGGGGGACACACTCCGAGCTCCCGACCTGAAGGTTTAGTCCACAAGGCAGTGGAACAACGTCAGGAGATGTGGTCTCGTGGTATCCGATGACCAACAATAGGTTCACACGCCATTTGTTTCATCATGATCCTGGAGCCCATGTGCAGGGTTTTCCAGCTTCTTTAGTTGGATACTTTGTGCCCACCAACCTGGTTAAAGCGCTGAGTATTCGACTTTCATCCTCTCAATTTCGTAAACAACGCTACCGACTCAAGAAAGTAATGAGTAAGGCTTCCCTGGTAATGGTTGTATACTCGTGGCCACGTGAGAGCATTTCGTGAGGAAGGGAGAACCCTTTCCATCCTCGGTCGTACCAGGGCATTTGAGAGCAGTGATATAAATAAATCACTTATTACACCAAAATTAGAAAAATGTCAAGGTGATTCGGTAAAGACTAAAGGACCAGGGTTACAGGTTAGTTATGTTTGGAAATCCAAAATTGGCGTTAGCACCTAGGAGTAATGATAAGCACAGTCAAGTGAGTGAATTCTCTGTAGACCCATAAAAATGAACACTTATGAAGTTGATTTTTTTATTTTAAACATCCAGAATGTTTGCTTTAACCCTAGACATTTTTATAGATCATGATGCCTATTCTTCAATCTTTGCAGTTTGATCAGTTTTCAAAATTTTATTAATTACATTTTGGTAGTAGTGTGATTTGCAGTACTTGTACGGACAGATATAAGTAGTATGTATCGGGAATTGAAAGTAGGATTTTTACGGACAGAAGTGGAAAACGGAGAAAAATGGAAAGCAATCGAAATAGCAACAAGAATAAAAGAATGATGAAGTTTGTAAAAGATAACTCAAGAAAGATGGGTAAATAGTGCATTTAATGTATTCCTTTTATATTTTACGAATACATTGTGATTCCGCATAATATAATAAATTGGTTTACCATAACTGAATCTTCGTTCATTACAGTAGTTTAATCGGCTTTCATGTAGTACAAGCTCTCCGTGACTGGACTTTAAATTTGGCGCAAAACTCCAATAGCCACTAACATAAATCTAATTGGTTAGTTAGTACAGTATATTATTACCAATATCACTCTTAAGAAACAAGTACTGAATGAAGATAATCTTAACAACAGAAAAAAACCTTCATATTATTCGAATCAAAATGTTTACGAGAAAAATAAAAATGTTGATCAGATGAGAAAATTATTGATTGATAACTAACATCATGCGTATAAAGGAAGTTTATAACATTTCGGTGAAGTAAGCTGACAAATATTTACATGGGTATAACCACCATTACTTATATGGAGTAAAACTATGCAACAATCGGACCATACTTAGCTATGCCATATCCAACAATTGGAACATATCAATGAAAAATGTGCAGAATAGATGGAATGGTACAACGAAAGTGTAAATTAGTCACTAAATAGGCTTATAAGGGAAGCAAACATTTGATGTGTGTGTTTTTGTGAAAAACGTAGTAGAATCTTATAAGAACAAACTTATTGTAATAAAACGACATCGTAATTTAGGTGAAAATGTGCAAACATATATTGATCTTGATAGAATGGAGAAAAGTAGTCAAACTTTATTATGTAAAGTTAAACTTGTAGGAAATTATTAGCCGAAATAGGGAGATAGAATTGATAAATATTAACTGAGGTAAGCTCGGTAATATTTATTATCTATTCGTAAAGATTCGTCAAGTTATACTGCTAACATGATCAATTTAAAGTTGTGTTTGTTACTAATTCATCAGTCAGGTATATATTCGTATACATGGCTTTGAACCATGAATTGCATTGACCAATTAGTTGAATCATTATGTTTTGTAGTGTGTGCTACTGATGTCAACAGATATAAGTAGTATGCATCATCAATCGTAAGTGAAATGTCTGGAGGCGGAAGGCTAAGAAGATGGACGAAAAGAGAACGAGAAAAGAGAGTGATTGATGTGGAAACGAAAGAACAGTCAAGTTACAGACAATTGATTGACGTTTCGCAAATGAAGAGTTTACTGCATGGACCTCAGATTTTACTAAGAGTTTCTGTAAATTTGTGTTCAAATACATTTGATTGTCCCCACTGGTGTTTTCATTCACTACATTATATTTATGATTAAATAAGTGTTCATTCAATTTCACGTTTCTATGTACTGATAACAGACACACTGTATAAAAACAATATGCAAAATATGTATATGATATTGATCACAGATTGACCATAGTTAAGGTAAATAAAATGAGGTTAATAAATGACAAACACCGGTTACTAATTAAGTAAAATAAATCTTTACCAAACCCCTCCAACAAAACTATGTAGAATAATTAAACACGACAATCAAACAAGATAAACATTTTTATGTAAACTCACTTTGAATCATTCAAGTTATAAACATCTGGACAGTAGATAGGATATGAATTGAGTGAATCAGAACATGAAGTGTCAATTAATTTAGAATGAATTTTTAAATTATGATCAATTTTGGAACCAAAAAGATTTAAATGCAAACTTGTAGAAACTTTCCAGAGGTTGATTAATTTATTGATATCTGATAAAAGTAACAAGAAGATATGATTTTAGTTAATGAGTTGCAAGGAAATGTAATTCTTTGTTTGTGATACTTTTCTATCAGGAATAGACTACATTTACCTAAGTATTGTTTAATAAACATACATATTTTGCACACAAAAAACTGGATATTTTAAATAATAAATAAATAAGATTATCATTGAATTAAAGCACAAACGAATAGTTATGTCGTATGTAGTAGATAATTTATATTGGCATTTAAAAAGGAATGTGGAAAATGTTTCTTTCCAAAGTCTCAAGGTAACAGCTACATTTCTACAACAATTCTCGTGTTTGCCAGTTATATATTTGTGTTATCCACTAACCCATAGTTTCTTTTTAATTTGAGGGATTTTAGATAAACAGTGCCGAGTAGCTAAAACGAGAGAGAAACAGCTACTTAATAATTTTTTTGGTTTTCTATGGTTCACCAACTGGTGCCAATAGTCCGTGATGAGGAGACTTCATCCACAATCTGTTCAAGATTGCTTCAGTGATATTACTTAGGAAAGCATTAGTAAGATCAATAATCCACTGGGTAGGTAAATGATAATCAATCACTGGTATAAACAGTTATTGATAATTGAGCTTATTTAAGCCATTCACAATGAGGTTTGACAGATAATCTTTAAATGACTTTCAAAATATTTAATGAATTCAAGATATTTATGTTTTTATTCCTATGGTCTAAATGAATTCGTATAGAAGAATAAAGGAGAAGACTACTCTGAAAGTATCAAGTAGTGTGTAAACATTTTTGTTCACCCACCATATTAACTTGTAGCTTCAACATGATGCATATAATTCACAGAGGTTACTATCAAATGCGAGGATGGTATCATATATTAAACAAGTTTATGAGGATGATAAATTCAACTGGGAAGAAAGCACTAAATTGCTTGTGAAAATATCAACACTGGGGTGCAGGTACATTTAGCTAACTAACCTCAAATAGGATGAAACGATAGTCTTCGATTACAATGTTAAACATATGTACATCAATTCTATGAGAACGTTTGACTCATAAAAACTAAGCTTTATTATTTGCTAACAAGTTTTTATCAAAAACAATAGGAAGACCATGGAAAATGTTCCTACAATTTCACAATAAAGAAATATTTCACTTAGGTATACAGATTTAAAGATAGACGAAATGTAAAGGGTATTGCTGAACAATAAAAAGATTTTAGCCAAGTAAAACAACATGTCCATAGTCTCTAATCGAATTGAGTGATTGTTTTTCTTCAACAAAACACAATCCTTTACTGGGTAGATAACTGACAATTTTTTATGAGAAAATCGAAAACAAAACATTATGTACATTAAGATAAAAATTCACATTTAACATTCATAACTGTGAGAGAAAAAAGTCAATGAAAAAACACAACAACACTCGTATTTACGCTGTGTATTTATGAAATGGAATCATAACTGATTGTGTGACGCATAAACATTGGACTTAAGGTAAACAATCACTGTCGATTGATCAATATAACTTAGCACATAGGTTATTTCTTCATTTAAATCTATTCGATTGTAAGATAAACTAACACGATTTCAAGGTTGTTCACTTAAATAGTTGACCTACTTGTATACAAAAAGTAACAACACTAAAATGTTCACCATTACTTAATTTTCGTTAAAAATCTTTGAAACAACAATAAACTTTGTTAAAGTTGGATGATTTTGAGGAAACTATTTGTATATTGTGACTTAAAGCTAAAAAGCGATATACAACCAATGAACACTATATGGCTATTGTAATTTACAAAACAGAGAATTGTGAGTGTGTAATATTGTAATGTTCCAAATTATGACAATGAAAACTGTTCAGTGCTGCTACCTGACATTCTCTCATTCACTCTCTCTAGATGATATTATTTTGTGACGAACTCAATCTTCAAAATAAATAAACCTTATTGGGTAACAATAAATGGAAGAAAACACATTAAAATGATACTTCATTTACCTTCATAATTGTTTAAAACGGAACTTGATGGATGCTGCGAAATGTTTGCTAAAAAATTAGCGACTAAAAGATGAATAGGATATTCTAGATGAACATCAGGCAAGTTATTTACTTTTGTAAATGATGAATCCGTATTATTATTATTATCATCATCATCACAATAATATGATTCATTTGTCCATTGATCCACATTAAATAAGAGTTGATTTATTGATGGTGAAGAATGATGTTTATCAATAAGTAGTGTATTATTGTTATCTGAATTGTTTAATGCTGAAAGACTGATTGAACTAAGCCAATTGATTAGACGTTCAAAATTTTCACATTGGAATAAGTGATCCAAATACTTAAGATCCTTAAATTATTACAAAAAAATTAAAAGAAAACGGAATAAAAGGGAATTCAATGTTGTGAAAACGACATGAGATTGTGAACTATAAGATAAAATAACGATTTTAAAATATATATAACAAAAATTATTCAAATGACTTTGTGATATGTAATTTATTCAAATAGTGTTCCAAAAACACAAATTCAAGTAAACATGAATGAATAGAAATGACGACAAAGAATCGATATCTCTAGGCTAAAATTATACATAAAGAATAGGTGGTAAATAGAAAGATTGAACTGTAACAACAACATATACAACTGACGACAATAGTTTTCTTTTCTTTTTCTGCTGAAACTATATCTGATTTCAGGATAGCGAAGGAATTTAATTATTATCAAGATGGCTTAATGACTCAATATTGACAATATTAACAATGTAATAAAAAAATCAAGGGGTATATAAATGTAGAACAGATGGAATGTAGCTAGCAGTAAAATCTAGGACGTACGTTTCGTCCTATCTGGGACTTGTCAGCTGAAGGCACTTAAACCCCAGGTTCTTGTAGTAAACAACTAATTTGCAACTTCGACTTCAATAACGTGAACGAGAACATCGTTATCCCCTTTTCCACTGTCCCGCTAACTAGAGTAATAAGTTCGGTTTCTTAACAGATGTTTTGTTGATGGTGATCCCACTACAATTGAAAATACATCTAAGTTAATGGGTTATATATTAATTATGATTTCTGAACTGAATAAGTCAGTAAAAATAAATCATTGTGAAAATTCACTGAAGTAATGTGTTCAAAGTTGACCTTACTTTCACCTGAAATCGATATTGTTCTTCTTCTTCACAAGTTGTATCTGGTGTTTCCACATCCCTAATATACATAAAAAGGATTGTTATGCAAAAACTAAATGAATATGCCTATGTTAACGTAATGATGACTCTTCGGACTAGCTCCCATCAGGCAATGATGCCACCGTTGAGATCACATAGTGTATGGTATCATAAAGAAATGAGAAATAACCTGGGAAGCATATATTTGTAATATAGTAAATTTAGGATATGCTCGAAAAAATATTATTTTCTTTCAAATAATAGAAACTAGAACAATCAAGCTTATCAGACATTATCATGGTTTAAAAATTACTATGACGAAGTAGTAACGACCACCTCCGTTACGTAATGCTCAATATCCAAGTATTTCATTAGGGCTAGATACATATTAGCAGTTGGAATTCTAATGCTGAAACCACTCCACTCACTGATGTAAACTTCACTTATCACTATTCATTCTGTAGTAGTAACGGAGTTAAGACTACGGACAAACGAATTTTCAAAATATGAATAAGCTGCACCAAAAAATAAATACATCTTATCAAGAGCTTACCTTGCTGTATGAAATCAAAAGATGTAATATATAGTCTGTAGTGAGTTTTGGATCTTTGCTGAAAGACAATAAACGACTTCGTTTACGAGGAATACTGTAAATATTACTGGTAGTAATTCCAGCCTAAAATGATTAAGCAGTAAAATTCAATGCAACAGATATGGTGCAAATCTAATAACAGGAGAAATATATAACCACGTGTTAAAAAAACGTCCAATTGAGACATTGAGCGACGTCAGAACTTTATCAGTAAATAAAAGATACGGAAGTCATTAAATTCCGTGCAGTCAAATCTCCTTCTACTGGTCACAATAATTTTCATTCATTTCAGTTGATCTTTAAATACACTTACATTGTGAGTGAACAAAAACACTACGCTGTAAGTACTATGACAGTTCAGGGGTGTGGTATTTTAATGTATCAATCGATTTACCTATCTTAAAAAGAAAAGTCATGTTCAATCCCTTATCCACCTATGATCTTAACGCCCGTTCGAATTTTACGAACTGCAAATGATAATTTATTACATTCTTTTCTAAGTAGACAGTTGTCACTAGCATTTATTCAATAGATTATTACTTCTTGTGACGTCAGAAACTATGGCGTGATGTAAGCTTTTGGTGATTTTTGATTACTTTGCTGAATGATGCAACCATTTTTACTCAATAATCGAAAAATTTAGTTATACTGTATATTATATTATATTTAATACTTGAAATCTTGATAGTCTTGACTATACTATGCAAAATCACTTCATTTTCGTTGACCTTCACTTGAATAGGCTTGACTATCTTAGATAATTTTGCAAATCTCCTCTATTTTACTAGACTAATACATGTAAAAATAATCACGTATAAATACGGGTTTATAGCGTCAGAAAATAACATCGTCGAAAGGAAAATTTTCTTCTCTCAAACGTCATTCTTCTTAATCAATCAATAGCCTACCTTCGTTTTTCTTAATCAATTTATTGATGAGATTATCAATGAATAAATCTAAACAGTAATAATGACAAGAAAACTCAAATACAAATGTTAACACCAGAGAGATGTTTGTTCCACCAATTCAGAATAGAATTTCAAAAAAATGTTGAAGGCATTAGAAATAATTTTCCAAATCATTGAAAAGTATCTCCTTCAAAGAAATATATTTTAGCTGTATATTTGTGAATGCAAGTGATGGATTGTACAAAACTAAATTTCTAGCTGGGAACTTAACAAATCTAGGTTATAAGAAAGAACCAGTTTTTTGTCAAACAGGAACAATGAATGCATTGCAGCAATCAAGTACATACTTAAGTCTTTATATATGAAGTTTCTCGATACAACTGTAAAGTGAAAACCAAGTGGTGCAGTCGCCCCCAAATGCCCTGGTATGGCCGAGAGTGGGGAGAGCCCACTCTCCTTCTCGAAATGCTCTCACATGGCCACGCGTTTACAGCCTCTGTCAGGGAAGTCCTACTCACTGCCTTCTCGTGGCGGGGGTGTTGTTCACGAAAATGAGAGGACAAAAAGCGAATGTCCGGCGCTTTAACCGGATTCCAAATCAATGGTGCACATGGGCTCTAGTATCCTGTGAGAACAAATGGCGTATGAACCAATCGTTGGTCACCGGCTACCATGGGACTGCATCTCCTTACGATGCTCCACTGTCTTGTGGATCAGACCTTCAGTTCGAAGGCTCCGGGAGTGGCCCCCTAAGATAACCACCTACTTCGGTTTGGGCACCCGGGCAGTATCACAGCCCTTACACATATCGAATGAGATTTGTGTGGCGCGTATGTATTTGGTGCCTCCTTGTACCAATATCTGTGTTAAAATAAATAAATAAATAAATAAGTGGTGCAGTGGCGAATTAATGAGTGATTATTATAACAGAAATCTATTCATCACATGAAATATTAAAAACTATGTTCTAGAAATAATAGTCTAGTCTTTGAACAATTCAATGTGAGATTATAAATTTTAACTATATTTTGCCTGGATTAACCCAAACAACTTAGTTTACAATGCATAAAATAAACAGTAGTATGTGAACAGTAATTCCTTGTATGTTGAGGAAAAAAATAGACATATACCATGATTTAGATAGAATAGATGAATTGTAGCTAGCAGTGGTGGTATATAGGATATATATACAGCTCTATTTACTACTGGACAGCTCCATGTACCTAGAACCCAGAATGTACTAACGTTCATGTTAGGACCACAATCCCATTTATTTTTTTCATTTTAAACAAACAGATCATTAAAGTTGTTTCAGACAAACAACTTCCGAAAATGAAATTCCTACTTTTTAAGGAGTGAATTACTATGAGTCACTTAGCACGTGAACAAAAAAATCATAGTACTAAAGTTATAATGAAAGTAATAGTAATGATAAAGATAGCAATATCAATGAACAGTAGTAATTACCTTGACACTTAAATCACATATCATTTTATAAAATAAGCCCAATTCATCTGAATGAGTGATTTTATTGAATTCACTACATGGATTTGTTGAAGTGATATCGTCAGCGTCTGTAGACACGGCAGTAGCAACATTATCATCGTCATTATACTTTACATGATGAATTAAATTATACAGTGCATTCATACCATTGCGAATTATGACACTACCTTTCAAAATTGACAAAGATGGCTATCCCGTATTGATGGAAGTTGGGGGAGGGAGTGAAGAACAAAATTTAAAGAAAAATAGGAATTAATTAAATATATATTATATACTAGTCAAACTACATGAAATCATAACACTGATGACCTGATGATATAGTTCAAAAACATTGGTTATCACTTATCTGAGAGCAAAAACATCCATTTTAATATCTGCATAATTATAAAATCGATGACCCAAACATTTGAGCCAGACATTATATTGATCACTTTTAGTGACCCGTTCCAATGACAAAGAAATACACCAGAAACAAGTTTTGCTGACATTAATAAAATTAATGAAGTTCACAATTAATAAAATCATGCTGTTTCCCGCAATCACTTTTGATATTATGAATGGATGAAATTTAAAGTTCAATCACTCAGTCACACAGAAAAAAGGCTATTGCGGAAAATGTATATCGCTGTACGTTGTTTCACCCAATTTGATGATGAGATAATACAAGTTTAAAAAAGACGTTAAATACAATTTGATTGTTTTGAAATCGATGAAAGATCAACATAGGATTCAGAACTGATTTTTCTAGTTGAACAACTAGTGATTGTATTAAACCCCAGTAATTACGATTCCAATGAATAAATATCTTAGACAATAATATTAGTCAACTAGATTGCCTTGTGGGTATGACAAGAGAAGTTTTGTACAAACCATGTATTCACATGTTAAATACAACTCGGTGATGAATAGGAAGGTAAATATTAGCGGTGCTGAAGGCGTGTGATCTGTGAACATCTTTATGTCCCTCGTATTGCAAAAACATATATCTACTTTAGGTATCCTGAAAAGAAAATTGAATTAGTATTATTGGTCACATAGGCCTGAAAACATGAACATGCATCCTAGCGACTAACTTTTCGGTATCAAAAACATATTTGCATCCAAAATTTCACAATGAGAACCGGAAATCTTGGGAATTAGCCACAATGAATTATTGTTAAGCGTGAACATCCTTAATACTTCATTATAGATTTGCAGCTCTCCAACCAGGCTGCGTAGTATGGTAAAATCTGAAGGATCACGTCTTAATTCAATAGGGTTCAAACCCGATCACAGAGTTAAGACAACAGCTGCACTGAATTTATGTTATTATATAATAGAAAAATTTCCACATGTAAATGATATACAAGTTAAAAGAAATCTCACTAGATTTTGTTCGGAAGAATAATTGTCATAAGGTGTAGAAATTTCTGATTCATCACAATGTTCATACTTCCTTTTCTTATTAGCAATAGTATTATGAATGTCTGAATCTCGTCGGGAAAACAATCGTGTTTTTGCAAATACATATGCACTGAAAGTGAAAAAAAATGAACACAGGTACAGTGGTTTTATTTCCATTAATACAAATTACATTGAACGTGGGAGATAAGTTAGATTTACGATTTTGTGTCACTCAACTCAACGTCTGAACGGATTATTGGTTTCAAGAACAGTCAGTATATACTTTCGGAACAAATTTGATAAAATTTAAAAAAAATGAAAATTTTGTTATTTTTTCACTCTACACAAAAAAGGTGTAAATAAATTAGTACAATTGGGTCACGGTATATGCTCATAAGGCAGTATCCCCTAAGCAACGTGGAAAACAATTGAATCAAAGCAGGACAGAAAAGATGCTTTTCTGCGGCCGAATTGGTCTTAATATAGAATACCAAATATTCACTACACCATTAAAATGTAGGCTAATATGCTTCCGAAATCACTTTCAATTGGATCTGTGTATTGACATGTACCTGGGGTAACAAGTATATAGGAATGACAGAGAAAAAGGTTTCTGCTAGATTGTCTGAACATGTTCCTATGATTCAATATCTGAGAGGTAGTAAAATATTTACAAGTGCAATTACCAGGTGTCTTCTCGACAAAGGACATAAAGTGGATATGTGTAGCACATCCAAAACAACTCACAGACAACCAACACTGACTTTATTCCATTTTGTGGAGACAATCGCTATTATAGCGTTCCCGACCTAATTTATGTGTACAGAACGAAAGTGTGATAAACCCTTCTCTTTTATAGCAATTCAGTGTTCATTAAATAATGTTCTTATTGTTCACATAATTATTTGTTTTTAATCATGTTTATTAAGTATGCAACTGTTTTGTATTACGCTTATGTAATCCCCTGTTATCTCCATTATGAATACTAGTAACTACAACATTACCCATTTAACTCTGAATTACTACTTTTCGACATATAAATACGCATCAACTTTAAGTTTATCCACATATTTTGTGTCATATTCAGGAAAATATGACAAGGACATTAAACACCCATAAATTCAATCCCTTACAATTTTTGTCAAGTAAAAAAATGTTAAAAAATACTGTCATAGATCTCATACTACGCAACGAGTTTCGGTGGAAAATTAAATCGTATTTTATGCTTGATGTCGATGTAACGACATTATTCACAATTAAAATTGTTAGCATTTATTCAAGTCACTTCAGTTATGTTCTGAAAATCGTAACGGCTAAAGAATATATACACATGAATTATGTCGCCCGATGTTTTTACTGATAATTAAGAAAAAACCCACTTACAAAATTATACCACTTCTTTTGTAAAAAGGAATATGCTAGTTATAACTTCAAAGTTTCAACGTAGAAAAACGACACAACCTAAGAAGCACGATTCTGATTCCAATTATCCTCATAATAACTTAATGGTTATGTCAATTGCAACGACTAATTTTAAAACATATATAACTTAATGGACATAACAAGTCCATACTATAATGACCAGTGATAAAATAAAATAGAAAAGAAATGATTATTAACGATAAATACATTTCTTACCTCCATATTATACATAATGTTGATGTTGCTTTAACTGCTGTTAACGTAAAGAAAAAATCAATTATGAGAGAGGAAGAACTAATTTAAAAGAAAATAACTTTATACACCATTTTACACCGTTTTTGTAGAAATTAATCTAAAACCATACAATGATAAATCAAACAGAACCCTAGGTTATTTTAACCTTGTTAAACTTAAGAAACCATTAATTCCTTAAAGTAATTGCTAAAAATTAATTACGCTATTAATTGCATAGCTATGCGATTAAAAAAAAACTCGTTTTTAATATAAATTAACTAACCGAATAAGCATATTTGAGTAAATGACCCAATATCAGAGATAAATATGTAGGTTGACATAGGTGTTCACATCAAAAATGGTGCCCGCCAAAACATATCATAATGCACCGGACGGATAACACCGGATCATTCACTAGTCTGTTATCTACTAACCGTGAACTAAAGTGTAGTCATATCCTGAAGGTCACTTCGTTCTGATTGGCTTAGCAAGAGGCAACGAATAATCTTGCACAGAACAATCAACACACAGATTACTATCAATAAACCAATCGCAAATTAGTGTTTTTTATAACAGACTTAAGAGTTTACATCAGCTGACGTGTAAAACAACAAATCATAGGACGTTGACTTTAGGTATGTCGAAACACATATAGCAGTGAAACATTTCGTTTATTTTCAGTATTGAGAAGCATTTTTATTCGCATCAGGTTTCTGTTAGATTTAAATGGCATTCAGTGATAATACAAAGTGAAATAAAAGTTGAGAAAACGGTAATAATTATTTGCACACAGTGTAAATAAATGTTTCCAGGTCGGTATAAACTTATAATATGCGAATAAATGTAAGAAACGCAAGTTTTTAATCATTTTACCTGCTTGATCAGCCACTTTTATCTAAGCAGATGTGTCAGAAAATAAATCAAATCTTGGGTGTAGTGAGATTAGTTGGTATTTGTAAATGGATACGAACAACGAAACAAGGTATATATGCATTTAACAAATGTCAAGTGTACAACATATTAGCGTTGTCTAGTTAAAAACGCTGAAATATGACTATTAACGACGACAAGGGTCGCAGAAATGTATAACTGGTCATCTCATAGCGTCATTTTCTCTAGTAGAAGCCTGGCCTTGTACCATGCCAAAAATGAATTCTAACTGAGCTCCGATTAAGTAAGTTTCGATAAAATCATTAGCTGACTTTGGTTTGGAACAATATATTTCTATTTGAAAGATGATACAAAACGTGGAAAAATACTCAAATCAAAATAACCTTGAAGAAATTAACGACAGATTCAATCTAATAGTTAATAATGAAACAACCCTATTTATTAAAATCATGAGATCAAAGCAACTCTAATCTATTATGCATTGATAAACATTATTCTATTGTCTAAGAGAGGCGTGCTTACACAAAATATTTATTCTATGGTAACAGTAACATTACGACACCTTCAAACCTTATATTTGTACTTACCAGTTATCAGACTCGGCATTCTAAATAACTAACTTCTATTTAGTCTGTAAAACAAAAGCGAGAAGAGGAAGCTGTTAACAGGTAGAAGGATGTAAGACTGCAAGTGATATCGAGTGACTCAGTCTAGTTCATAAATTGTATTGATAAAGTTAACTCATAATATGGATGTGCCATTTGCCCGTAAATTAAATTGAGATGAAAAAATTATTGGTACTCTATAGGTCGGTCCTGATAGAAATTTGTCTTTTTCGGTTCGCTAAATGAACAAAGGCGTGCTTCCATCAGTTATTTGTCATTTGAAAATCAAACATATGAAGAGATACTTGTCAACTTCAAAACAGTAGCTGCGTGCTTGTATGCAGTAATGCATAATATTGTAACAAAAAACGTGGAGAATCAGACGGAAGAATTTCTACGGAGATGACATCAATTCCAAATGTGGTAACTGTTAAATATAATTGATATCAAGTTTATAGGACTAGAAAATTCCCATAGGAGCTAATGAAAAATCGAAACCAAACAGTTAAGGTACCCAGTATACAATCTGTGAGCGGTTGATTTTATAAAAGCTTCCGATCAAGTATGGGGATTGTTTAATTTCATTGGAATCATTGACCAATTCAAGCTAGACTATTACTGAAAACCTGGAACCATTAGATAACTGTTTCCTTTTAGTATGGGGATTAGTGAGTTTGATTTCACCTCGCGAGGTAGTGGACGTGCGCTCCTGACGAGTCCCATGCTAGGACGAGACAGCCATTTAGCGCTTCTAGGTTTACAATGGTGGTCTAGCGAAGGTCGGTCCATGATTTCAATGATATATTTAGACTTCTGAATACTGATGAGGTGGAACGTGGGGTTGAAATCTTTACCCCAGTTTCACCTGCCTTAAAGGTTCTGGCCAAAATACTGACATACTTAGTATGGGTATCAAATATGATATTAGAAGAAACGTGAAAATTAAAGAGATTATCACTAGTTACAATTTTATTGGATAATTCAGCAGTTAATGTTCATTGGGTACAGATTTGCTTTTTTAAATATACACACTACTATAACTGACTAACTTGTTGTTTTCAAACACGAAAATTTCTAGGGCATATATGTGTGAAATAACACGAATGTTTCACGCCTCTTAATTTTTTCGAGTATTCGAACACAATCGAAAAATTTGCTAACAAGTAAAATAAGCAAAATACATCACTTTTGGTAGGTTAGTTCTTGTCTTCCCCACTTCCATGTGATCGAATAGTTGTTTATTAATCGTTTCAAACGAAATGAACCTTACAAGTGTGTGGACAGTTACATACTCTCATAATTAAAATTGTTGTTATAATATATTGGTCCATAACTATTACTATAATACTCACTTACTTTTCTGAGACGCAAAAGTTAAGTTGATCAATAAAGATGAAACAAATAAGTAACTGCTTAATGTTATTTTTATACAAAAGACTGAATAGTGCACATATTCAGCCTTCAACACATTGAACCAATAAACGATTAGAATTATTGTTCAGTAAAAATTGTTTAACATAAAGTACAATAAATAAAATTCCTTAAAATGATCGAGTAAATAAAGATAGTTTTTTAGGTCTTCTAATCACAAGCATTAGGTCAGTAAAACAAAAACTTGGATAGAACTGTATTTTTATTTGCATACAATAACATTAAACATCTGATGTAATTTGCATTATTGTTCGATAACTGACGAATATGAATTATGCTTCCATTGGTTGAATGTAAAACTGATCGAATTGAGCTGTCATTTGGATAGCTTGTGAATATAAATCGCTGTCAAACTTTGTACTTGCTTCCTGTGAGAAAACGACCGGTTCCGCTGTAGCATTGATTTCTGTACCTTGCACATTGCTTACGCGACCTTGGACTTCTATAACTCGGTTTTCTGGAGAAGCCTATACAAGAACAAAAATTCAAAAGTAAAGGATGACATGATTTTCAATTACTTCAAACAAGTCATACTGACCATAATGAAAGGATTTATGAACATGTAGTAACAATAGTTGCAATTAACTATATATATATATATATATATATATATATATATATATATATATATATATATATATATATATATATATATATATATATATATATATATATTAGGGAACTTGTACAGTGCAACTAACCACATAAGGCATTTGATCTGTGACGTTAACCGATTATTACTATAGCGACTTAATCTTCGAACTGAAGACAACAGAAAACGTACTTACCATTTTGGATTGAAAAATTGGTTACCCGATATTTTTAATAGTGAAAAATAGGTTAAGTAATCAGTATATTTAATAACCGTGAAGTGATGATAACAGAACGAGAAAATGAGAATAAGAAACAAGATAATCAAAATTGGTTCAATCCAGAAGATTTGTTTACTTGGTATGAGTTTTTTCTATTTGAAGGAAATAGTAGTCATATATCATGATTCAATATATGCATGTATTTAAATACCATATAAACAATTTTAGCGCCTCTACATAGATACATGACAATATAAGACGTGTGAACACATCTGTATGAGTATAAACAATGCATTACATCTGAAGTATTACACTGTAAACAGTATTACATGTTAGTGTACATCGAATCAAATAAACATGGAACTGTGCTCTAGTATACTGCCCCAGTTCTAACAAGTGTAACAGGATTTTTGTTCAATAAAATCACTAAAACAGTTGTTGTGCATTAAAATACGCTACTGAGACCAGATCAATCAGGCAAATAAATGTTTCTTTACGATAATTTCATTTCCAAAAGGTGAAAAAACTGGATTTGATAAGAAAGAGTGGATGTAGTGAGCAAGAATGTTCGTCATCATGCATACAATGAATATATCAGTCAATCAGTTTGATCCAGATAAACAATAAATTAAAAAACCAAAAAACAATGTCACATGAGTTATTATTTATTATTAATCAACTAACAAGCTGGTTGTGAAATAAGGCGTGTTTACGTATGGAAGAAACACAAAGTAATACTGCGATAGACGATCCCATATAGAGGCAGTAAATTAGTATGTCAGACAATAGTAACCCATTAATTGCACATATTCGGTCCGTGAAATTAATGGGTACTTACTTTGTCAAAATACCACGGTAAAAGCTAAACTACAAAAGCTAACCATCAGTAGGATTTAAATGTACGGACTCAGTTTTTAAGAAACATTAGTTCCAAAATGACATAAAAATACCTGAAGAGGCGAGAGAAGATTGCAATCGACTTCCCGCCCATCTGCACAGCGTATATGTATTCTTTGTCCTGAAGGGGCAACACGAAGAGCAGTCCCAACTATACATACATCGCGACCTACTAAATTTGGAAGCATTGAACCCGTAACACGGAATCGAGCTGTGGGCTTTTGATCAGAAGAATCCTAAAATAAAAAGTAGTTAGTAACAATAAACCAGAGCCAGCGATCAGAAAGAAGAAATGATGAACTAATTATATTTTAAGAGATCTGATTACATTACACAGCAAAACCAAGTTTTCTCAAACATTCTTTATGCTCCATGATCACATCTGCACACATTTCCTCGCCATACATCAGAACGCACTGATCACGCTTGAGACGTGTTTCTGGACACGCACAACAAGGTTTAAGAGGTTTTCCTTCGCTGTCCAAAGGTATTTTTTGAGAAGATTGATTGGGAAGGCTTTCCGTGCTCGATGACATTGTTTGAGAAAACCTACATTGATTAAAATAAAGCAAAAGGTGGTCTAAATACATGAACATTTGGACAATAGAAGACCAATACACTCAAAACTGGAAATTGGGACTGAAATAACGTACGAGTGAATAGTGTTAAAGAATATAAGCGGTATATTCACATTGACATTGAAATACCAGAACATAAATGGCGAATATTTTAAGTGGAACTTCTGTCACCCAATATTCTTCATTCTCGTTTCTATTTCTATGGTCCTAACGTAATCTGGCATTTTGAACCGCAATGTGATGATTGGAAGTAATGGACAGAAAATCCTAAACCTACGTTTTGCGCTATTTGGCACTCATCAGTAAGGTGTACCTGTAATCTTAGGAGAACTGATGCTACCCGGAAGATTCTATCCCTTGTTACCCAGCTTCACAGTCAGAGACATTAGTACTGAGCTATCCGACCCGTAGCTGACCTCCTGTAGAACTGAAATGTATTTACAATTGATTGATCATTGGTTAGTGACCAATGTCATATGTTTCACGTCATTCTTAGTTCAGGTAGAATTCTATTGACCAAGTTGAAATGTGGCCACTAGTTAACTAGAAATCGCATTTCCAACCTACTAAAACTCCGTCACTAACGTACAGAAAACTTCGGAAACAAAAATAGACACTGGTTTCGGATTCGGTTTTCAGCAAAGAATAAAGTTACCAGTAAACGGAAGCATATGATTTCCATCTGACTGAACCAATAACGCGTTATCCACTGAGTATAAATGGCCAGTAACTGTAACGGTTTGTATCACCATGATACTGATCAATCTAAATTAAAATGCCATATCACGTCAGTCCGTCAGAGGTCGGTATTAGCTAAAAGATGTCAATTAGTCCTTGGCGTACACGAGAAAACCAAAACCTTTACAAATAAAACTATTTTGACGAACTTCTAGGCGTTCTACTGAACAAGTTATTGTGATTAACACTAGTTTTTTGTTACTTGCATTCCATTCAACAAACCAGGTATACACTATAACCAGGACTCGAGTTATACCGCTAGTTGAGTGAGTAGATGAAATGAACTGGGAATGAGGATTTAGCAAATGAAGTAGCACTATCATATGAGGCTCCGACAGAACCCGTAAAGAAAGCGTTTGCTTGCTTGATATTATCAGGGCAGAAGAATCCCAGAGATAAAAGCATTTCGGCAGCCCAAAACGAGACATCTGATCAGTTTTCACTTCTAGGATTGATGATATGACGTTTTCAGAAGGTACGAAACAAAGACCTAACCGCTTAAACGTGGACTTCCCTCTCAAGTGAAAAATGATTTAGACTCTCTACTGTTACGTATCAGAACACTTTGCCGCTGATCTCAAGTTGAAAACAGATAACCAAAATAATTTAGATCACGAGAATTAACATTGGTTACGTGATCTCCAACCTCTACATCTAGAATCAGCTTCTTTTGAAATTTGACGCCAAATAGAGGAGCAACGTAAATTACTAGTACGCAAACTGAAGAGTTTCAATGAACTTAAGGTAGACTTCAGAGTTTAATTAAGGAGTAGTTACCCTACCAATGAAAAGATGGAAAGAAATATATTTAAAATGTACATAAGACTAACAAGTTTTATGAATTACCTTAAAGATCTTTCAGGTAACTCTTGAGATTTGAATTAGAAAGGCACCGTACGAAACTTCAAATACTGAAATTTAGTTTTAAACTTTTAGTCGTGCACTTTGACTTTGAAATTTCTACGTTTACTAGCATAAACAATTCGGTGAGACTAATTTATGGACGGCCTTCAACAAGTAATTATATATCGCAACTATTAATCTGTTTGTTCCATCAAATTCCTATTATGTGCCATTTTTTAACTATGTACTATTTTATTTAGCCTGTAATGTATTGGAACCTTTCGTTAAAGTACCGTAATATGTGGTAGGATGAGAAATCAACTCACAAGGTTGCGTAGACACTTAAAGTGCCCAGACTTTCTGCATGATTTCATTTTCAGTGAAAAATTTAGCAATGAATCCAATGTCTTTGTCACCAGCTTGTATAAATCGACTACTTTTTAACGCTATCCTCTTGTTGTTTCAATAAGGTTTTGTTTAATTCGTCATGTCTAATGAGTGGCAGTCTAACCACTCAATTTCGCAAATTATAGTCAATTTGATAGCTGTTTGTGGATTTGTGTTTGAGTTAGTGCGTTCACGTCAGGGCAATACAAATTCTGGATACTATCAGTTATCACACTGCCAGGTAGGAGATTGGTTGGTTGCAATGTGAAATGAAGTGATAATTCATGGTTACAAGCACGATAACACGCTCTGAGGAGATAATTTGGAGCTCATTTCCGTGAAGAGTGTAAGTGATTTGTGTCAAATTAAGTAGGATGTAGATGACATGACATTTCGACAGATTACGTTTTAACAACTAAGAAACAAACTTGTACATTTTTAGGCCTTAAGAGCAAAACTTCCAAATACCAAACTAATTACAAAGTGGAACCAAATGTTCTAGTTCAAAGATAATAATAAACAAGTTCAAAAGTTGAGCAAAACAAATATATTCAAAACATCGCGTGGGTCCAGTAACTTATTTACACGTCCTGTGTTAGCAAGTTAAATGAAGCATGTATATTGTAGTCAAAGCGACTGGAAAGATAGCAGATGATCAAGACAGCCAAAGCTATCCCAAAGTAATTATGATGATTAGAAGTGTTTGAGTTATAGTATGAACAAAGAATCGCAGAAATAACGTAATAGGATCAAGAAGTATTAGGTAACCACAACCGAATATAGTGTATTTGGGATTCGAAATGTAGCATTCAACAAGTACAAAGGGATCATCAGTTCATTCAAATACCACAATCGCCACAGCTTAAATTAAAGTCTAAGTGTCTGTAATCGACTGTACGTCTTCTTAAGTTCATCCTGTGTCTGTCCGACATTGTATTGGATAAAAACCCTGTATTACCTAGAATATGCTCATTAGTATTGAAATTAACAACCGAAATCGGAAAAGACTCACCCGCTTTCCGGGATTGTGTGATCAGCATGTCGGTTGTGTACTGAAACCGCTGCTACCTAGAATTTGAACCATAGACTAAAACTATCCTCCCCCACGAAATAATGTTGGATCTTTATATCCTCACATTGACTAAAGTAAACGTTAGAAGTGACTTCATGATAAAGATAAACAACAGTCGATATGAAATCATCTGAACTGTAATCAAAATCGAGGTCACTTAGTAATTGTGTTTCGCATTAAACAAGTTTTTCACAAGGAGCGAATGCATTGTGAGGATGGGTAATATATGATATGACATCAGGATTTGATTATTCTGAAATATTTTCATGAAATTTATTAAGAATGTCATTTCAGAGTAAGGGATCATTAGAAAAATCAGCATCTATCAAAACTACATCAGGTTTTCGATCATGACCAGGTTCATTCAACGTATTTTTACTCAGATTTGCAAGGACTTTCGTCAGAAATAAGTGGGTCATTAGAAAGAACTGTTGCGTGGCATCGAGTCGAGATTGAATATAAACACCACTATGAAGGAACGCGTGCAAGGATATCCATAAAACCCCCCGGAAGCCAATAATCAGAAGGCAGTTAATGGACCAGTTCGAGATATATTTGCTGGCGATCTCGTGGTATCGAAAGAATACCGAGATCGTGCCAGGATACAAGCTTGGTTACAGAGCGTAACCGAATTCACTCGAGGTCACAATCAAAGTGAGTATAATGAATGTTTTTAGCACAGTTAAACAAAGAGCACATTAAATAGTCACTGGTACAATTGGTCATAATAATTATTGTTTTCAATAAACCAATCGTGTTCTCGTGATAAAAGTGAGTCATTACAAAACCATATCTAGTACAATAACATGAGAAATGTGATAAGTTGATTGATTAAAAATTGTTGTCTCGCAAAGATTCTACGTTTCCCTTAACTGTGAACTGCTATATGACTCTACACTGTCTTTTGAAACCGTTTATAAGGATAAATGATCATTAAGAACACTGGACTTAATAGAATCCGAATTACAAGACTTAATATTAGTTGCAGCAAGATGTACAGTAGTATTACAAACTGACTGGATATGTCCAACATGAATTAAAAGAGTGGAACTTGTCATAGGACAAACATTGACCAAACTTGTGCCCATCTTCACGAACTGCATCGCAACTTCTCAATGAATTATCTGCATAACTTTGAGTATGCACTGAGTTGAGGTGACGTAATGTGATGGAATTTTTTATATCCTCGTGAATCATTTTACGAAATCCTCCTCATTTACTGTATTCGAAATTTGTATACTTAACATAGTCTAGCAGTAGTTCCTTGAGGGCTGTATAAGGAAGTGAAACGGGCTTTTCCGGCATAGCCAGAGTTTTTAATAAGCTGTATGCTTCTTTTCCGATGAATGTGGGGAAAGGTGCTGCAATATTAACATCCTCATCATCTTCCTTGGTCATAGCCAAATTTTCGAACCTTTCAAAGTAATCCTCAAAAGCATCAAGATCTGAATGTATATCCAACAATTCCATCACAGGCTCTATCGCGTCGCCTATATAATGTATCGAACTATTTGAATTATAATACGAACTAAGAATCCCAGAAATAACATAATCGGATGCAGAAGTACTAGATAACCACAAACGGATGTATTGTATTCAGAATTCGAAATGAAGCATTCAACAAGTACGAAAAAGTCATCAGTTCATTCAAACACCACAGTTATTCAACTTTGTTATGATTATGGTTGTCAGATTTGTTATTGTGTTTGTCGACCAGTAAGGTGAAGAATAATTTGATACCCTTAGAAGTGATTAAATACCTCAATATGGTGATGGGAAAGTGTATGCTTTTATGACGTCAATGACGTCACGCCAAACTCGAAAAACGATTCCTCACGAAGGCACTTAACAATCACTTACTTAAGAAAATGGCGGAGAGAATTTTATGAATATTTATTGATGTTTGACTTTGCCAGTTAATGAAGTCAATATTTTGTCAACATCGTAATGATGTTCGTACTTTTTCATGTTTTTGATTGTTTATTTTGATTTTTCTGTATCGAATTTGCTCCTTCGTTTTTGAATACAGCCAAAACTGCTCACAAATCTGCGAACAACTGAACTCCATATATGTGAATGGATAGTAGAATCTGTCGATCACCACCGTAGATAATCTGTATCTAATGATCTGGAGCCTACCTGGGTTAGACGGGAATGGCCTTACCAATCAGTCAGCGTCTGAGTAGCATCTCATGGTTAGTACCTATCATGGATTACCGTTTCTTCGTATCCATATATCACTCTAATGACTGTCCAACATAAACGACGTTATTGCAGAAATACATAAGAGTATATACGAGGAACGAAGTGCGATAACCATCATACGAGCGAGTTCACATAAGTAATTAATTGATGCGAGTCGGCTGTCCTTGACCTTGAGGGGCATTGGTAAAATGCTCGATATTAGGTAGCTTGATTGCCGGATGTTTTGATAAAGGCCGTGAGGTTTCGACAACGACACTGTGTCATCAACACATATTTCTAAGTTGCATCTTTACATCCACGTCGTTAACTGCTAAAAGTTTATATTATTCACGAATAAATTGGAAAAGCCACATTTTTATTCTAAAACTAACTATATAGGCGTTTTTCTGCTCTTCGGTACAAGACCTCGTAAAATGATTGAAAGTTCATTATTCAGGAGCTTTTAGAACAGGTTTTCTATAATTGTTTGACAGTAAAGTATTGATTTCAACCTAGTCACACACAAAAGTGTACAAATGGGTAAGTTTTACAGGAAATAACATGAAGGAAAGCATATATCGCCATATAAACCGTATTGTTTTTAAAGCTACCTAAACAGCTCAACAAGTAACGATACTATAATAAGGTTCTATGTTTTTGTATTCCTAATTGCAATTTCAACTGATTTTCACTGTTTTGTTTTACTTTTATGATAGAAATAGACTAATAGTTAAGATATTAACTTTCTTTTGGATTGTTATTGTTATGTATCCGATTCAGGTGAGAGATTCCTTCACTGACCAAATTTAGTGACCCTGGATCTGACTCCAGGTAAATCAGACGAATGATGGTTAACGAAATATGCATGTCAATGAATGCATGTCTCCAATCCTCGCGTTAGTGTATTACGAAATAAATTTTTGGACTTGTATAGTTTGTACGCTTGTAGAACTATGGTCTACTATAATATTAGTGCTGCCCTTATAATAGACCTTATCCTAAATTTGTAGATTTGTCATGATATAACTGCCTAATCTATAAGATCTTACGTGGAAGTCACACCATCGACTACACCAACTCACTGTATCGTATCAACTACCATTATATGATGTAGAACAAGGTTAGGCTAGAGAAGGAACAATATATTTAGTATGAATAGAAAATATAAGGTAGCATTCAGAGAGACCACGCCTTCATGGCTGAGTCATGCCATTCGATCAACTCCAAATCATTCAATTCATTGTTCGCGCCTTCTCCATTCTTAGGTATTTCTCCGTGTTAAATATTGAATATCTATTTTCTGAGTAGTCTTGTGTTCAGCTTTGAAGATTGTGAGGTTATGGTCTAATGACACTACACTACTCTCCCACCAGAATCAACGTGATGTTGGTTCGATACCAAATTGGATGGGATCGTCGCGCGCCGGAGGTTACCAAGCATAATAAGAATAATCCGGGTATTAGTAAGCTGAAAGATAAATCAAAAAGAAAGCGGCAGCATCTGGTCGGGAAATACATGCAATAATTTTAAAATATCTGCCTTCATGCTTAAAACGCTTGAAATGAAAATTTGGGTGAAGATTATCTGAAATATAAAGAATGGCATAACAATAATAATAATAATAGTGATAATAAAACGATGCGTGTGTAATAGCCGTTGGTTGATAACTTAATGTATAGGTAGTAAGTATTTTGTGTTTAGAAATATTAAAGTTATGAATATTGTAGAAAT